AACAATCTTGCTGAAAATGGACGGAAAAAAACGTAGTGTTATTAAAGAGCAGTGTCGTCAAATAATATTTAATGTATATAATTATTTTAAAAATATGAAAAGTGAAATGGACACTCTGCTAATGGTAAAAAATAAGACTGCTGAAGCAACAAGTAAGGAGTTTCAATGCATTTAGTATTAATTTTTGATATTCAAATTTAATGTTCCACTTTTCCAATGTTTCCAAACAGTTTTTACTTTTAGTTCTCAATGTTACTTATTTGTCAATCTTTTATACTATGCTCTTGTACCCCATTTTGCCTACCTTCGCTTTTCTTTTGTATTGGGTGAGTTGAGAATACCATTTTTGACATATTTCTTGTTTCATTCCTTCAATGTATCCTAAATATCATATTCTCTGCACTTTCATTGCAGTCGTTATTTTTTAGCTATTATTACACTTACTTCGTTATTTTGTTTACTACTTCTTGGTATGTATGTCGGTAGTTCTATTACTATGTGATCATCTACAATTCCGTAATGTGTTTCCATTACTACTTAATTTTGATTTACCCTAATTTTTTGTAAAATACCAACCACATTTACTGTAAAATAATTTTGCCAAATTGTCATTATTCCCCTAGATAATTCATTTATTAATAGATAGTCATCATTTTTCATTATGTGGAGAAATAGTTCATAGGCTCTTGTTTTCGTAGAAAGCTCTTATCTATTTATTTTTTAATTGTCTACTATCGCTTTGAGTTACTTCTCAATGTATTCGTTTGTTTCTTTATGTTGTCTGTTTAAAATTTGAAGAATTATTTCTGCAACATACCAATCATTTTGAATTATTATTTACGTCATCATCATAATTATCAATGACGTTACAACTCTTCGTGAGTATTTGCCGCGTTTACTATTGCCTTTCATGTTTGTCGGTCCTGTGCCACTATTTCCCATTGTCTCACTCTCATTTTCTCCAGATCTTCTCTTACTGCATCTTTCATTTTACTTATACGCTGATTATATTTACGTCATTATAGGCATTTCTGTACGGACCGTATCCAGAATACTACAAGAGAGCAAACAGTCTCTAGATAATAAAAACAAAGTTGAATTTTCTTCAAAGGGACCTATACGAAAGTCACCTGTGACAGATTTACCAGAATATCAAATTACAGATATTCGGCGTAATACATGATTTTCATTGAACAGAGAATTGTTGTGTTACTGTTCATAAATTGAAGAACAAAATTGAGAGAAATTTGGACATTGAAGTATCAGAAGTCTTGCTACGAAGAATTCTTCGAAATATGAATTTCCGTTGGAGGAGAGCACAGGACAACAGAAAATTGTTGGTCAAAAAGACAGAAATAAGGGCTTGGAGAATCAAATACTTAAGACTTATCAAACATTACAGAAACGAAAACAGACCCATTGTTTACCTCGATGAGACACAGTGGACATATTTTGTCGAAAACTTTTTTGTCGAAGGGTCAACGTTTAATAATAGTGCATGCTGGTGGTGAAATGGGATTTATTCCAAACGCGCTTTTAATACTCAAGTCTGGTAGTAAATCCGGTGACTACCACTTAGAAATGAATGCCACGAATTACCGCAAATGGCTAAAGGAAAAACTAATTCCAAATTTACCCCCTAACTCAGTAGTTGTTTGCGATAATGCCTCATACCATTCGGTACAAGTGAATCCTGCGCCTAATAGTAATTAAAAAAAAATGATATGATTGATTGGCTGATTAAAAACAATATAATATTTAATCCTCAAAGTTTTAAACCCGAATTGTATGAGTTGATTAAGTACCATAAAAATAGTTTCAAAAGGTATGAATTTGATGAACTTTTACGTAAATATGGTCACACTCCTTTACGGTTACCTCCATACCATCCGGATTTAAATCCGATAGAGCTAATATGGGCTGCGATTAAAAATAATATCGCACAAAATAACATAACTTTTAAATTGGAAGATGTGAGACACCTGTTGGAAAAACGAGTTTCCGAAATAACCCCAGATGAGTGGAGAAAACAATGTCATCATGCAATTAAAATAGAAGACAGTTATTTAACATCCGAGGTACAAATAGACCATCAAGAAGATACTAATCCCATTATAGTAAACTTAGGAAGTGACGACAGTGACATCGAGTGTTCTTCGGAAGCAGAAAATTAAATTTTTTATAATAACAGCAATATTGACGGTAGTCTTTATTATATCGCTAATATATATATATATAATATATATATATATATATATATATATATATATATATATGTATGTATATATAAAAGAAACGACAAATCGGATAGGTGCATGAAATTAGGCCTTTCTCAAAGACAGGAATATTTATGTTTGCATGACTCTATTATATCACTAAAAGGCTTCTAAGAAAAGAATTAAATCAGGTAGAAGATCTAGGTAGATATAATTGGGACCGTTCATTAGCATATAAATATCCTCACTTTTTAATATTTTGGTATTTTATTGATATTTGATATTTTGAAAATTACACTTGACATTTAATTGCTATTTTAAAAATCCATTTTATTAAACTTATCAATATTCAGAACATAATAATTCTTTTGTACAATAAAAATAGTTTGTTTGTTCATGTAAAACGTATTGCGAAAGTAGTATTGTTTTGTCCCATCAAATATCTTACTGATCATTTTTCAAATGTTGGCTATATGTTCAAAATTATTGAAAACTAAAAAATTTCCTTTATTCAGAATAATATGTTTTAGCTGTATCTACTAAATAGTGCGCGCCACTGTCATTTAGTTAAAATTTCAGTAACCAATCACCAACTTCAAAGGCGGTTCTTATACAATTTCGACAGGCCTCATAATATGCAAATTAGATGCCTTCCCAAATGACGATTACTCTACCTGGGAATTTCCAATTAAATGAGACTTTGAAGTATGTGAATGAATTTGTAAAAAACTGTATGTTTAATGCATGCCTGCCAGTTGGAAGCGGTTATATTTTGTATGGCTTGCTCAAATAATAATTTGACATCTTTTAATTTAAAGGTTGTATTCTTTTGCGTTACCTCATTTTTTATTTGTGGCCATATCAGCTCGATGGAATTCAATTCACAATGATACGGTGGAGTTCTTAATACGGTGATGCCATGCTCACGTGCCATTTTGTCTACTGCAAATCTGATGTATGAACTCTTATGTTCGCGCACTATATCAAGTAATTGAACCTTTATCATGGATTCATCAAAATCTATATTTTAACTTCTTAACCAATCTATTATATCTGCCTTTCGAGATGCAGAAGTCGGTATTTTTTCCATACGATGACTGTGATAAGGTGCATTGTCCATTATAATTACCGAGCCAGGATCTACAAGAGTCAGTATAGACGAAAACCACTTTTCAAACACATCCGAATTGATATCCTCATGATAATCGCCCGTTTTGATTGAAGTAAACACATTTAAACCACCTTATAAAAAACCTGAATCACTTCCAATGTGCGTTATAATGAGACGTCTTCCTTTGCCAGAAGGTGCTTTTAAGCCGGTTGAAAGTCCCTCAATGAAAGCTTGTCACGCACTTTTAATATACAAGTCTTGCTATAATTTGGATTTCGTTATGACCCTCATTCAACCACATTTCGTCCGTATAATAAATTTTTTTACCAAGTCGTCTAAAATCACGAATTTTTTGCAAATATTTTCTAAGCCATATCACTAATTCGTCTCTCTCGATCAACAAACTTTTCTGATTTCTCTTCACATACCGAAAGTCCATTTCATGTAAAGTTCTTTGTAATACTCTCATAGATATATTATTTAAATTATCATCTGTGTCTGCATTAACTTCTCGTTGAATAGCCTTTAACGTGGGCAGTTCGTTCCTAAAATAAAATCCATGGACTTTTCTTCGGATTATACTTTTCGTACTATCGTCCAATACAATTTTTGCACGTCCTTTATGGATATGTTTTTGGATAGGTTTGTTACCTTGAGTTATTCGGAAAACCGTACGAGCCGATACTTTCGTTAAATCTCCACACTATGCTACGACGTCCTCTATAAGCATATCTTGATATCTTCTACGCAATCCCTCATAAACAGATTTTATCATTTCCTTTTCTCTCACAGATAACCACCTTTTTTTATTTTGTTTATTAACAGATATACTGCACCTTGGTTTTGACGCCATGATGTTACCCGACGGTACGCTCATGAAATAATACCAACCAACTGATTTTAATGGTTGTATGTGGGTGAGTTTTCACAATGGTGCCGTATTTTATTAAGAATATTACTTTCGAAAAGAAATAACGGTGTCCGCCTGTCTCTCTATTGGCACTCAAGGTATACCTCAATGGCACGGATAAGCTGCAAGCGGTACTAAATAATAAATTTCGCAACAAGGCGAGTAGTTCGGACTTCCAACAGATGTAACCGGTAAAAATGATAATTGAGAAGTGGATTTGTGTGCTAATAAAGAAATAAATATATAGCCGCTTACCATCAAGTGTTAACGAACTACAAAATGTCTGCCCTGACAATCCTATGAAATTCAGGGTATAGTGTGTCAATTGTCATTGACACACTAGTAGTTTTACGATAAAAACTAATAGACTGTAGACTTTTTTTGCAGAAATATGATATTCCCCGAAATATGATATTCCTCAAAAATATTTTCAGTCAAAGGTCGAAGCCGCTGTTAATATTCTGCAAGCTGGTCAAAAGAGGGTTATGACATGATAATTCTCATATTTCAGCTTGATTTCTTCTTTTTTTTTGTGCAAATGATTTCCGCTGGTAATTTTTCACGCATTTCATATCTTATTTATTAGTAAATGCATTTGTACTGTACTGTTATGTATTGCAGAAAATAATAAACGATATGCCAGCATTCAGAAAAAAACAGCTTGATAATTGAAAGGGTCGGCAGTCACACTTTATTTGAAGTGAAGTGGTAATGAATACTTAATTCAGCCAAAACAGACTGAGAAAATTTTAAACCCAATAGTATAAAAAAACCAAAGCGAATACATTTTTTATTTCCTACAGGAAGCAATAAATATATTAAAAAAACGGAACATAAAACAAAAAATCAGAGAGAAGCAAAATTATTTGTTGATAAAATTCATTATTATAGTTTTTATAGAATACAAATAAAAATAACTTATTCTCAAAAAGTATACATGGATAAAAGTATAAAGGAATAAAGCGCAATAAATTCAAATGAAATAATAAGAATAAATGAGAGTACAAATATTTGCTTGGTGGGTTAACTAAATAAAATAAATATTGTTCATATGTGATGAGCTTGTTCTAAAAAAAACTTATGTAAAATAATATACTGTCTTTTTCTTAATCCATGTCTTAACTCTGAATTCTCTTTTGGTTTAGATGTTTTTTCTCAATAAATTGTTCAAACATTACCGTCCGTAAGACTATTTAAAATGAGCAGAAGTTATGCTAAAATTAAAAATTTATTTTTAGTATTCATTACAAAATAATACTTAAATATATTATATTACACAATTATTCATCGTTTTCAGCTTCACCAGTATCTACTGTTGCACTTTCTTCTATTTCTTCATCTCTAGTATGTTCTTCATTGTCATCCATTCTTTCAACCTCTTGTTCTTCTACATTTTGTGGATCTGATGGTTGATCCTCGATTGGTTCTTCTTGAATCGGTACCGGTACCTGTTTACCAGAATCTTCATCTTCACTATCTGTATCTCTATCTTCGCCAGGATGTGAAGACACGAAACCTTCATGAGATTGGGTTGGTACTTCTCCTGGTTTATTCCATTTATCATCCGACTAAAATTAAATTTATTATATATTAAAATATGTGCAATGATATGTTTTCTTCCTCATGCTTCGTCTGCAACTACAGCAGACATTATCAAAGCCCATGCGGCAACAATTGTAACTATCTGTCGCCTACTAATGAGTGCCATTATCAGTGAACGACAGAAGATTACTACTCTTGTGACAGTGTATGAGTGTAACATAAAAGCAGAAGTGAGAAAGTAAAAGTCTGTAAAATAAATGCGCAACAAGAAACATAAATCCGCAAAATCACTAGTAATTATAAATATAATTAACTCTTGTTTACCTTATAATGCTGTTTAAGTTGTTTAACCCTTTGGATATAGAAATCATAAACAAAATTAGCCATTTCCACCATATCATGAATAACTCTTAGTTTTCTTACAGGTGGTTTGTTATCATTAACTCTTTTTGCCGGGTAGTACTCGTTTAGGATCAAATGCAGCTTTGGTGACCGCAATGTGAGCTAAAAATAAAATAAATTAAAAAATAAAATTTTTGTTGTTGTTATTCACTTGTTAGACTAAGTTCATAATCTCGTAAAACTGACGTACTCATTTGGTGACGCCAATCTACTAACGAAACGATAAAGTCACGACATTGCTGAAAACATTAATTTAATTCTCCTCAGTGCGTTCTCATAGCTAGACAGAGTCGAACTAGTTTTTGCATTAGTAAAATAGTTTGAGTATTTATTATTTTTCTTCAACGGTCTTTTTAATACTTTATATTGAATTCATTACCAAAATAAAATAAATAATGTTTTTAAGATTCATTTTTTTTTAGGCATGCGGATTTCCAAGGTTTTTGAGGTTTTGGAATATGTCTATTTCATATTAGTTAAGAAAATGAGGTCTGTGATCGCCATTATACACACACCCGCAAATTTAAAGAAACAAGTTATTAATGCAATATATTTCTTTATATTTTTTATTTTATACACTATATCTAGATAGCTTTGAATATTCCTCGCCACAAGTTTTAAATGCCAAAACGTCAAATTCATTTGTTTATTTGTGATGTGTTTTACATTTTTAAGTCGAATTATCTGTTGATGACAAGTACAAACTTGTATTTAATTGATAAGTGATTTTTCTTTTGAATCAGTGGTATTCTTATTGCAAAGAGCAAGTAATAATGGGTGATTTAATATCGACTGATATTGCTAGGGCCGTAACACTGGTAGAACATGCAGGGAAGTTGCTGCAATGTTTGGAAAATCATCATCAACCATCCACCGTTGTAAGTAATTGGAGACAAACTGGGGAGTATGTAAGAAGAAGTAGGCAAGAGAGAAAAGGTTTAACTATTATTATTATCCCGGTTTTTTATATCGTTCTCCGCCTTCTGGTTCCCAGTTTCCAGCTACGTCGGTCATTCCATTCGTCAGGGTGAAGGTTTCTTTCCGACATTGCCTTCTGAATGCCGCCCAGCCAGGATTGTTTTGGCCTTCCTCTCTTCCTTCTTTCCCTTGGCGTCCATTTTAAAATTTGGTTTGGCAGCCTGTTGTCGTCCATTCTTTTCACATGACCATACCAGATCAGTTGTCTCCTTTGAATTTCGTCAATGATGGTTGACTTGACTCCCATTATATTTCTGATATGGTCATTTTGTACTCTATCAAACCTTGATTTTCTAGCTGATCTTCTCCAGAAGTCCATTTCCAATGCAAGTAGGCGTCGCTCAAGGGATTTAGTAAGTTGCCACGTTTCGCATCCATAGAGCACTATACTTTTAAAGATGGAGTTAAAGAGGAGATGCTTTCTTTGATTTGATAGTTCTTTTGACCATAGCATCGGGTTTAGGCATCTTAAAAAAAGATTGAACCACGGCTGTATATGTTCGATTTATAACGTTGCAAATATTACGAAAGAGACGTGGAACGGTAGTTCAATCCCAAAAACCTAATAGCATTAACAATATATAGACTAGATAGAAAACACTAAGATTTCGCCGGTGTGTTTACATACAGTATACTGTAACAGAAGTCAACTTAGTTTAAGCTAAAATGTCAAAATACTAGAAATATTGCTAAATATATTCTTCTCCGCCACTAAAAATTTGCAGCCGAAAATATAAGATAACCACTTAAAAAAGACAGGGTGTTTTATTGGTAAATGTAACATCTTGTATATCCGAATTATTAAATTTATTTTAGGTATTTAAAAAGAGCACAAAATTTTAATCATTGATCCTTCATGTCAATCTACTACAAACTAATACTAAAGGGTGTTTTTTTGTAGGTATAGAACTTTGAAATTGAATAAAACAGTGATTTTTATACATTAACATGAAATTAACTTTATTCGAAAGATAATCTTTTGGCATTATAATTGACATATGATTTCTGGTATATGACCCTCATGGCTTGTTTTGTGGTCAATCGTTTCATGCCTTATCGACGTAGAGTAGCACCTTCAAATATCCCCACATAAAATAGTCTAGCAGTGTTGAATTGAACCTTTGAGGCCAATTCACGATCCGAAACGTGAAACTATGTGGTAACCAAACGTTTCCTTCAATAAATCAATTGTGGCACGAGCTGTGTGACATGTTGCGTCATCTTATTGAAACGACAGCTACTAAACATCATGGTTGTTCAATTAGGGAATAAAAAAGGCAGTAATCATGGCTTTATAGCGGTCACCATTGACTGTAACGTTCTGGCTGCATCGTTTTTGAAGAAGTACGGTCCAATGATTTCATCAGACCACTCACCACACCAAACTGTCAGTTTTTCTGGATGTAATATTTTCTTAACATACATTTGAGGATTATCTTAACTTCAAATATGGCAGTTTTATTTATTGACGTAGCCATTCAACTAAAAGTGACTTCATCGCTAAACAAAATGCGCTTAGGAAAATCAAAATCAACAACAATCTCGTTTTGGACCCACTCACCGAATCTACGAATCTACGCCTTACTAGTTGATGATGTACTTTAAATTCTTGCGTGATCTTCAATCTTCCATAGAATATCCAGCTGCTGTGCGCGACGGCAGATAGACTGATTCTGGTCTTCCTGTATGCTACACTCTCCAACAGCAACAACTTCTTCTGTACGCACTGTACGACATGTCTGTAGATGCGTATTATCATTTAGAATAAACGTGGTGCAAAAACGTTCAATGGTTTATCGAATTACTTGCTCTGATGGACTCTTATGTTGACCATAAAATTGACGTAGTGTGCGATACGCATTTCGAACAGAAACACAATTTTCAAAATAAATTTTTACAATTTGAAAGCGTTGTTCGAGCGTAAATCTCTTCATGATGAAATGCCAAACAAAACTTAAAATAAATTACTTGAAAGCTGTCAAAATGGTCGACAGTTAAAAAAGTATTACCAATTTATATTTCTATACCTCTAAAAAACCCCTCTACTACTCTTTCTTTGCTTGATTTGTGAATTATAATTAGTTTAAATAATCATTCTAGAGCAAGTCAAGATACGCGCCGTAAAAATACCCACCTTGAGGGTATTTACAAATATCCCTCTACAAATAATGTAATACCCACCGTGTGATACCTTGCTTACTGTCTAAGAGATAAAAAACCTTTTTCATTTAATGAGCCACATTGATTAAAATCCCTATGCACTTATCCAGTAACAGAAAGTATAAACAGTTTTGGTTTTAATGTACGAATAGTAAAGTTCAAAATGTAGCTTACCTGTTCGAAAGCTGGAGTCAGTTCAAAGCAATTTCTAAATAAAGCTACTCTAGCAAATATGTATAATCCCAAACGGGCACGAGACATGGCTACTACAAGACGTCTTACATCTCTTAAATGACCTACGGCTTTGGTTCTAACTAGTGACAGAATTATATAATCATTCTGTTGTCCTTGGTATTTATCAACGGTGGTAACCTACAAATATTTAACATTTTATATGAAATTTTAACTGGATGGAATTTTAATATGTAATATTGCAATAAAAAGTCGACATAATGCCTAAATATAAAAGTTGAATTAAAACTTAAAAGAGAGAAGTACGAGATACGAGTGTAGTCGTATATCCTCCAAATATATTTGTTTCCATGTGGCGCTCTCGGTTTGTGGTATGTTTAACCATCTTAGCCTGTTATTTTCCTGATATCATCGTATCATCTGGTGATTAGTGGCATCGTTTTCTTTTTTATCCCCATAGTTTTAACTGTGATATTCTTAGCGTTACTTATATTATATTATTGAGATAAGAAAAATCATGATCAAATATTACTAGGGAATATACATATCCAGAGTAGAATACTAATAGAAGCATAGAAGAGGAAAACTCAAAATGAAACTTAAAACAGAAAACACATATCCAAAACACACTCAATAAAAGCGGCAATATCAGACCTTAAAAATCATAGACACCGTCTAATGAAGGTGTAATTCCTGTACTACTAAACTAGCTAAAAATATTCAGATATTTAATATATCTGAAGCAATGAAAAATATCAGATAATTCGGACAACGTGATTTAGAAATGTACCAGTCACAACAGTAAACAGGTTTCAGGAAAAAGTACAGTAGATCATATTCAAACACAAAGAACATCATTAATAGATTAATCATTGTAAACTACAGCATCTATTACAGGGATATATAATTTATGAAAATATCTGCGCTTATGCTACTAGTACAATGACGAAACCATATAGATACGAAAAGTAAAAAAATAAAAAAAAAGGAATAGCACAAGAACTATTTACGATTACTATGAAGGACATTTTTAAGCAACTAAACGGGGAAACTGTGAAAATCAATGTAAATGTTGAAAAAATTAAGAATGAATAAAATATCCAGATGGTTTAGTATTAATAGTGGAAAACACAGAGGGATTACAATTTAAGAGAAAAAACAAAATGAATTAGGACCCGAATGAATATAAAAATATAGGTACAATCTATTTTACCAGTATGAATATACGCAGGAGAAATGTAAGCCTTTACAGCCATTAAAAAATCCAAAAATCTCCAGTTTACACAAAGAAATATTAAAAGTGCGATTAAAAAAAATTCTCCGTCCGATTAGGAGAATGTCCAAATTGTAAGACATTACTACAACCATAATGAAAAATAAACGGAGATGAATAAGACATGTAGCAGGATGGATAATACTAGATATAGTAATTGTATACCTATATAATAAACACCAAAATTTATATATAAAAAAAGAAATTCTGCAAGAATGGGAAAAACACAATATTAATATAAATTTTAAACCAGGATTTAGATGTTATTCTATGCAGTTATCTATGTTTCTATGCATGTTATTCTATTCTTATATGCAGTCGAGTATGCAAAAGTCAAATAATTAAATTTAAACATAAAATGCTGAATTGACGACGATATTTGCAGGATAAAATTCGATTCGAATATAAGAAATACATTACGAGTGATTTAAACACAATATATACTGGAATCACAATGGGTGTTCGTACTTCAAATGACACACCCAGTATGTCAGCATAAAACGAGAAGTATATCAGGGATAACTCCTGTCTCCGCTTCTCTTTAACATCTATGCGGAACATATTTTTAAGGCATCTTTGGAGAGACTTGGATCACGCAGACTTTTTAAGGAAAATTAATATCCAGCCAAAACTAGTCCAAACTGTTAAGATGAGAAAATCGACTTACCTCAGTCGTATCATGCGCCACACTGAGCATGAACAGCTACAACTAATCTTGGAGTAAAATAAAGAAGTAAGAAGGAATATAGCTCGAAACAAAAAAATCGTGGCTGAGAAATATAAAAGATTGGGTGACTGATTGCGTTTAACAAACTAACCAGCAGAAAAATGATCCAAAACTTACAAGATAGTAATATACCAAATAAAATTATAAGAATAATAGAAATGAAAATGCGAGATTCCCAAGCAATAAAGGACACCAGAAGAGAAAGGACAGTAATAATAAAAATAAAAAATGGAGTAAGAAAGCTGTCAAGCGCATGAACTATAAACAAGAATGCAGTACAAATAATAGGATATGCCGACGATATAACCATAGTAGCAGCAGATACAAAGCCATTAAAGAAAACCTTCCAAGAAATAAAAAACTAAGCCAAACGAAGAGGACTGGAACCAAATAAAAATAAAACAAAATACATGAACGTAAGCAAGAAAAAGAAGACACAGATGACAGAATTGATAATAAATGCACACAGTTTCGAGAAGGTTGAAATATTCAAATATTTGGGAGTACTAGTCAACAAAATAAATAAACGTGTAGGTATGAAAAGAAGAATTCAAGAGGGAAATACAGCGTTTTATAAAAATAAAAAATTGTTTAGAGATAAGAAGATAATACGAAACGCAAAAATGAAAATCTACAAAACGACCATAAGACCAATAGTAGTATATGCTGCAGAAACATTTACATTGACAGCAAGAGAAGAAAAGCAATTGAAAGTTTTTGAGAGGAAAATTATCAGAAAAATACTGGGACCAAAGAGGAAAAACGAAGAGAATACATGACAATGGATGAATCACGAAATACAAGAATGGATGGGTCAAGAGAAGATAGTTATTATGGATGGGTTAAGGGCAATAAACGTACAAAGAATTAGATGGTATGGACACATGAGAAGAGAAGGTCAATCCGTTAAGAGTTATAACGAAATGGATACTACCAGGTAAAATAACCAGAGGCAGACCTAATCTGAGATGGAGAAAACAAGTGGAAGAAGATTTAAGGAGTATGGAAATTAAAAATTTAGAAAGGACAATCAAAGGCAGAGAAGAATGGAGAAAAGTAGTGAAAACATCGAAGTCACACTAGAAACTGTAAAACCAAACCCAGAATGGGAGGATCTCCTACACGAAAAGGATCTTCAAGTGAAAACAGCTTCCGTTTCTTCAGGAGCGTCATGTTAAGCCAAACAGAAAAATACGCCGTAAAACATATTAACAATAGATTCCTATTGGCAAATTAATTACATAAGAATAATACAAGTAATACAATATAAAATATTACTTACTTTGTGTGGTCGGCCTATAAGTACATTATTAGCACATCGGGTGTTAATAACATCTCTGATTAAATGTTTTTGTCCATTGTATGTAGTAAGTATAGTAATTTTATTTGCAGGATAACCAATTAGTCGCATATACATAAACATAGCAACACAGTATTCAGCTTCAGCAAGATTCTAAAATATTTAGGTGATTATTAAAAAAATATATATACATAAAATGAAGCATTACGTTAAGCCATTGGCAAAATATAATAAAAGATAACTAGGTTGTAATCGATACCTCTATTTATTGGACATTTTCTATAGACGAATAATCTAAGAAAAGAAGCATTTGATAATATAAGTTTGTACAAGTTCACCTGTTCATGCCATGCTGTTGTATATTTGACAACTTTAAAAGTTGTCGGTCGGTTTTGTAGTGTACGCACAAATCAAAATAATTAGAACGGTAAATATTTTTTGGCTATTGCTCATAATGTTGACTACGTCACTACGTGAATTGTAAGTCGCTAACATTTCGGTAAGTTGTATATGACTTATATTTTTTTTCTGGAAGCCTCTGTTATGAACCAGTCACACTGCGGGCAATAGGCTTATTGTACATCTTCCATTTCTTTATTATACCCTTTCCAGAATAATTCTGGAACACTGTACTAGCTTATACAGGTCTAATGGATGGGTAGACCGTAGGTTCTACCATATATATCTGGAGCCACTTCGTTGTCTCCAAAAAGTGTTTCTGCGATTCAATACCTCGCAGTCATGAAATAAATGTTTTCAGGTTTTTTGTTACAGAGTCTGCAGCTCAAATCTCTATGAAACAGTTCCATTATATGCAGGTGCCCCTTAATTAGCTTAACTTAAATGTTCAGTAAGGAAGCCTGTTATGTCTCTGAGCTGATTCCTGCTTGTTTTCCGCAGTATTTCAGCCCTATTAGCATATATCCGTCCTATACTTGACCGGGTATACCGACCGAGTATCTACCGACAAATTTAATGACTGGCTATTTCTATATACTAATTTAGATTCACTTTCCGCTAAGTTTGACGAATTTGTATGCACAGTGCAACTTCTTAAGCCGGACGTTATTTGTATTTGCGAATCCTGGCTTAAACCCTCAATTCCTGACTCCTCTGTTAATATACATGGATAAACAATATATCGTAAAGATAGAGAAAATCGTCTGGGTGGCGGTGTATGCATTTATTTATCTAATAATATTACCACAACTTTCAAAATTAACATTAAGCTATTAGATATTACTGGAATAAATGCAATTCACTTATCTGTTACAGATCACCTGGCCAATAACTTCATTATCTAACGCCAAAAACGCTCATAATTTCGTTAAAAGCAGTAAATTCGAACCTGACACAACTCATTACAGAATCTACCAGATTTAGAAATAATAACCAACCTTCTACTTTAGATCTAGTGTTTATTAATGACGAACAGCTGATTTCATCTCTCGAAGTCAGTTTTCATATATGAAAGTCAGATCATGCAGTTATAACCGCTCACATCCAGTTCAGTCAAATCTTCTTCTTTTTGTGCCACTCCTATCGGAGATTGGAAATCATCAAGGCTATTCTGACCTTGTTTACGGCTGACCCAAAGAGTTCATTAGTGGTGCAGCCAAACCACTCTCTCAAATTCCGCAACCATGACATTCTTCTACGGCCTGGATTCCGTTTTTCTTCTATTTTTCCCTGCATTATATTTTGAAGTAATGCGTATTTATGTCCTCTTATCAGGTGACCAAAATATTCGAGTTTTCTTCGCTTTAGCGTTAACAAAATCTCTGGGTCTTTTCCTATTCTTCAGTCAAATACTGCCTCGCAAAAATAATATTGTAACATTCTACTACCAACTTTTCTGAAATTGAAACTGACTTGAACTTTGCAGACTTAAACCACCCCTCATTAATGTGGACTGCAATTCGCGATGCGATAAAGTCCATCATATAATTTCTACAAATACCACATTCCGTAAGATTTATAAAAACAACCTTAAACCCTGGATAAATCGAACAGCAATTAAACAAATTAATCACAAACGACATCTATGGCGGAAATTTAAACACACCGGGCTTCTTAGTGATTTCCAAAGCCACCGCAGATTTTTAAATAATTTACAAACATCTCTAAAACATTGTTCTGAAGCTATCTTCTTGTGGTCGCTCGACTCTAACCAATTTCCTACATTGTGTTATCGACTGGACGTCATCCCTTAACAGTTTGCAGCCGGTCGACGTTGTTTATCTTGATTTCTCTAAAGCCTTTGACCGTGTACCTAAGCGCAGACTTCTACATAAGCTAGAACATTTCAGAGTTCGTGGCACTTTACTTCGTTGGATAGATGATTTCCTGACAGATCGACATTTAAAAGTTAGAGTTAGCGAATCTTTCTCACAGGACATATTAGTGGAAAGTGGAGTGCCTCAGGGTTCTATCCTTGGAACTCTGCTTTTTAAGGTTTATACAAGCGATGTTGATTATTATGTCTCAAGTAAAATATCGTTCTACGCTGACGACACACTGATGACACTACACGGAAAAATGTGTAGTGCTTCGAATTGGTAAAAATAACCCACTTGTACCGTACTTTGTTAACGGGCAGCCATTAGATTCTGTATTTTCGTATAACGACGTTGGTGTTATCGTAAATAGCAGCCTAACTTGGTCCGACCATATTACTTCTATTTGTAAACGTGCGAACTCGAGACTGTATCTTATTCGGAGGTGTTTTTCGAGAGTTTAAATGCAGTCATTCTGTAAACTTTACACTCTTTACAAAAGACCCATACTTGAATACGCTGGACCAACGTGGTATCCTGATTTGGTTCAAGACAAGACTTTGTTGGAAAACGTTCAAAGAAAAGCCACTCGAGTTCCTTTGGGACCCAGAAGACCTTTTTATGCAGAAAGACTTAGTATGGCTAACCTAACTTCTTTTGGACGCCGAAAACGTGGAGACCTAATTACAACATTTAAAATGTTAAAATTCTATTGTGGAAATCTCGATGAAATGTTTACCACAAATCAAGATAAACACCTCAGAGGTCATCAGTTTAAACTAAAGAAAGAAAACTTTTCTTACAAGATCAAGACAGAACTTTCTACCAAATACAGTTTTTGAGTGCTGGAATAACCTTAATGATAACATTGTCTCTGCTCCCTCTACCAACTCGTTCAAAAACAGACTTGACCGTTTTATATTATTATTGTTGAAATATTGTTTTTCTTTTAAACCAAAAATTGTAATTTTGTTATTTTTTTTGTAATTTTTTTATTTACTAGTCGGTTATTAATGAAATTTTTTTAAATTTGGACATAATGGGGACTTGTTTCTTTGCCCTCGCTCATATATAATAATAAATAATAATAATATTTTCTCAAAGCAATTTGTGTTGGCTTCTAATCCAGGATTTTTTTTTTGGTCACAGACGATGCTTCCCTTTACAAAATCAAACTATTGTGCACTAACGCCACACCTTGTATGTAAATGCACTCCTACATATAGTTTAAATATTTTAAGTTTACATATTTCATTTTCTTCCTTGAACAGATACCTTGGGTCGACTAATACTTTATACAGTGTCATTGCTATCCGTTTAATTAAAAGAGAGTCCATAGTAATTTAATTTAGTTACTTGCCAATAACAATATAAGATAACGTAAGTTTTTCTTTACCTGATAAAAATATGGACTTGGTTCTGATTCACCTGTACCATTAAAATCTTGTACATCTACTAGTTGAAAATCGAATGCAAAACCAGGATTTGCAAGTTGGTATTCTTTCCAGTTTTCCACGTGTTTTAAATTTCCCAAATTCTTGTATCTCCATTTGTAAAGATTGCAAATGCTGAAAATAAAAAAAAATATTACTTTTTCAAACCTATGAAACATTCTTCCTAATCTAAAGAAAACTCACTCTTATGCCATACACTCATAAATGATACACTTATGATAAGTGTAGTATTAGTTAGACTCGACTTCCAATGTCGGCAAATGTTACTGATTGGAATAACAAGGCACATATGAATTCGTTGAATTGGGCTACAGAATCAAAATACCTAGATATATTTAACGGTAGACAAGCCAAGGCGATATTAAAGGTAAAGAATCCACTAAACAAAAATTAAAACTCATAAAACACTTTAAGAATCCACTTAATGAACTGACATGAGACAATAAAGTGTATTTAATATAGTTTTTTACTTCGACAGTTGTCACTTAGGCAGTCTTAATTATCATCAGTTTTATTAAGGAATTTAAATATATCCATCAGTGAAACATATATATATATATATATATATATATATATATAATATATATATATATATATATATATATATATATATATATAAATTATTCAACTAGTGAATTCAGAGGTTAATCGGTCATTAAGGTTGGCAAATAAAAAACAGAAGTCAACTACTTCATAAGTTTATAGAAGACGTTTCGCTTTATACTTCTAAAGCTTCATCAGTTCTCTAAAATACAAAGATGACATAGAGTTTATAAGAAATACAGATATAATAATTTATTACTTACAACTCAATATGTAGTATTAAAGATGTTAATAAATATGTACTTAAGTTTACTCATTAATATAGAACTAACTTAAAAAAAAAACAGAAACAAAGAACACAAAAACTTTGCAAAAAATAATCTCATTCGCAGAAACGAAGATTTAACAAAATTTTAAAACGTACATTTGGCTTCATTTAGAGATCGTTCTCCGATGATATATATATATATAATATATATATATATATATATATATATATATTATATATATATATATATAATATATATATATATAATGGCTATACACCCCAGCGTGGGGTTAAACCGCAAATGCTTTCTAGATCCTATTTCTTAAGTGGATCAGTCTTTTTTTTTGTTTATCTTATCTTCTTGACAATATCTCTGCATTTTTTCCTGTCTCTAGTTTTTCCTCTCCATTCACTGACTCCTGCCCTTTGGAGGTCTTCTTCAACTTTTTGCAGCCACTTTGATCTCGGTCTTCCCCTTCTCTTTCTTCCTCCTGGATTCCATTCTATCATTGCGTATGTCACTGCTTCATCGCCTGCTCGCCAAATGTGACCTAACCATCTAACTCTGCATTGCTTTATTTTAGTTACGATGTCTTCCTTAAGTTCTTCCTTAATTTCTGCATTTGTTCTGTTTCTATATTCATTTTGCTCTGTTCTGATTAGTCCTAGTATGGTTCTCATAATCTTTCTCTCTGCAATTCTTAAGTCTTCTTCATCTTTTTTAACCATCGTCATTGTTTCCCCTGCATATAATAATATTGGTCTAATTATGGTGTTATAAATGCTCATCTTGCTTTTTTTTAGTCAGTGTTTTGCTTTTAAGTAATCTTTTGTTTGCAAAATAAGCTTTATTCGCTGCTAATATTTTTTCTTTTATTTCGGATTTCCTTTCTCCGGATTTACTTATTGTAACTCCTAGGTATTTGAAATATTCTACTTCTTCAAACTCGGAACTTCCTATTTTGATTTTTTCCTTTATTGGTTTTTTCCCTAATCTTAATATTTTTGTCTTTTCTTGATTTAATCTTAGCCCCATTACCTCCCCTTTCTCTCTTATTTCTTCAAGCATTTCTTTCATTATTTTTCTGTTCTTTGCAATAATAGCAATATCATCTGCATATGCAGTTATTTGACCACCTCTTGTTCTGAGATTTCCTTTATTTATATTTCGCAGTACATATTCTAATGCTAGATTAAATAGCGTTGTTGATAAGGCATCTCCTTGTTTCATCCCTTTATTTATACTGAATTCCTCTGTCTCTCCTCTTTGTGTCTTTATGCTTATTTTTGTAGTTCTCATTGTCATTTCTATTAATTTTCTGAGTTTATGTGGAATTTTTAATTTTTTAAGTGCTGTCATTAATACGTTCCTTTTAATAGAATCAAATGCCTGTTTGAAGTCTATGAATAACCTTTCCAATTCTAATTTATACTCGTTTGCTTTTTCCATTATTTGTTTTATTGTGTGTATTGCATCTATTTTAGATCTTCCTTCTGTGAATCCACATTGGTACTGTCCTACTGTCTTCTTTGTGATCTTTGATAACCTCTTTTTTATTATTGATGTCAATATTTTATATGTTGTATTTAGTAATGTTATTCCTCTATAATTTTCACAGATTTGTTGGTCTCCCTTTTTATGTACTGTTATGATCTGTCCTACCTCCCAGTCACCTGGCATTTTCTCTTCTTTCCATATATTTTTCAATAGTGCCAGTATTTTTCCTCTTAGTTCCCTTCCCCCGTATTTTATTAGTTCCATATTAATTCCATCTTTACCTGGGGCTTTTCAATTTTTGCTTCTCTGTATAACTTCATCCAATTCCTCTAATGTTGGTTCTTTTGAAATTTCGATGTCTACTTCATTTGTTTCTTCTTCGTGTACTGTTTCCTCCTCGTCATGCATTTCTTCTTCTGTTGTTTCCTCCGTCAAGAGCTCTCTGTAGTAATCTCTCCATACTTGCTTGTATTCTTGGTCCTCTATTATCACTATTCCCTCTCTATTTTTTATTCCGTTTGTTTTGCCCTTGTATTTTTTGTTTTGTTCTTTAATCTTTTTGTAAAAACTTTTCGTTTTTCTGTTTGTTCTTTCCCGCTCTATTTCCTGCATTTTTTTGTCTACCCATCTTCTTTTATTTTGCCTTATCACTTTCTTAGCATTCCTTCTTAATTTTTCATATTCTTCTTGTGACAGTTTAAAAATGACATTCACTAATTAAACCTAGCAGCGTAACTCCAAATGAATATCTATTGATCTAATTTACTGATAATATATTCAGCAGTTATAGAAGTGATAAAAAGTTTGCATTTAATTAACTGAGTAATATTCATAGTCAGAAACTATTGTAAATAAACTTAACACGAACAAAGTCTCACTAATTGCAGCTCTTAAAGACACTGTAAACTTTCAAATGCAACTGATTAAATACAAATTTAAAAGTGGCTAAAGTGGCTTGCGCTGTTTTTGCACTATGAATTAACTAAAAATCTAAATGATATAAATGCAGAAGTGAAGTGCAGTGAATCTCTCGGCTGGGAAACTAAATTAGGGTTGGGCTGTTAGTGTGTTTTAAAATTCGCAACATGTATAGGCTGTTTCTGCTAAAAAGTGAAATTCTGAAAATTTGTGGGTTGTGCCACTATTGCGCTCAGGGCCTCAAATAAAAAATACATAAATTTAGTATTAGTAGTTAAAACATGTTGCGCAGATGTACCAACAGGTTACAATATTCTGGTAGAAAAAATTATACTGAGATTGAAAAAAGCTTCAAGGACTAATAAGCAAACAGTTACTATTGATTGAGAAAAAAATGTCAAATGATACGGTTAAAACAAGAAATAACTAGTATATTAGAACAAAAAATAACGTTGACATCAAGCAAAGATGAAAGTACTGAGGCAAACTGGGCGAGAATTAAAGATATATTGCAAGAAACAAAATTATATGCAGTAAAAACAAGGATGAATAAAACAATCTTCAGTTGGGTCAACATTACTCGCTTCGTCTGCGCTCGAATGTGTATTACCAACAGATAAACTTTGGTCACCTTCTTCATCAGCAGATTGCACACAGTCACTTTCATGATTGCTGAGAATCCACTCCTCACCTGGAACATTTCACTTTCACTTCCTCAGTACCACTGTCTATCAGTTTTTTACTTAATACTTCACATGTCTTCCTCTTTATCTGTTCTTAGCCATTTATTTTTGGCTTGCACTTTTTTTCCTGTTATTTCTCTACATTCTTGGTTATACCATTCGTTTTTTGTTTTAGCCTGACTTTTACCTATCTGCATATTTGCACCTTCTTCTATTGATTTTTTGATCGTCTCCCATTCTGTGCTTATATCTTCTGCTTTATATTTCTCTTTTATTTGAACTGTTACTGCCTCTTCATATTTTTTTTCTTACTTCTTCATTACTCAATTTATTGACATTCCACTTTTTATGTTGGTTTTTTTGTTTTGTTTTAATTTTAACTTTTTGTCTTATAATGGCTGTGACCACGTAGTGGTCTGAATCTGCACACGCACCTCTGAACGTTCTTACATCTTTTATTGACGATTGTTTTCGTTTATTAATCATTATGTGATCAATTTGACTATATGTTTTCTGATCCGGTGACCTCCATGTTACCTTATGTATTTTAGGGTGTTCAAATTTTGTCGAGCTTATTAACAAATTTGCTAGGTTACATAGTCTTTGCCCATTGTCATTCGTGTTTTCGTGTATTGTATGCTTTCCTGCAATTTGCTGTAAAAAGTCCTCTTTTCCAATCTGGGCGTTGAGGTCTCCCAGTACAAATATGACATCTTTGGGTATTTTTTCTATCTCCTCTTCGACCTTATCATAAAAGATTTCTTTTTCGGCTGCATTGCTTGTTTTTGTGGGGGCGTATAAATTCAAGACTGATATATTAAATGGTTTGCTGTTGACTCTAACATAGGCATCCTTTTGTTTCATTCAGATCCTTTTTGATTTCTTCATTTTCTTTCCAGATTTCACTATTCTCTTGTTTTAGTTCTGATAGTTCAGTTTTGAGTTCTCTCATTTCTTCTCTGTATTGTTTTTGTTCCGTTTTTACTTCTTTTATATCAGTTTTTAATTCTTGTAACTCTATTGTTAAATTTTTTATCATATTTAGTATTTGATCTATTTTGTTTTCATTTTTGTGACTTTTAATTGGGCTTCTTTGTACTTTTTTACTGGGACCAAATAACAGTTCCTCTTCTTCTCTATTTCTTTTCCGATTGTCATCGGATGTATTATCATCTGAATCCATATTTCTGCTGCTACTACTCGCGATAGAGCCAACCTCCCCACTCAACGCGTCGAAGGAAGATATTTCTCTCAAGTAGTAGCTTGTAGTAATTTATTTTCTCGTTTTCTTCCTGGATAAATTAATTTTCAATTAAAATAATTGTCAGTTACTTTGGAACGGTTTGATGTGGCAACGCCCACCTCTAGCTTTTAAAACTGATATATAGTGTTAATTACCTGGGCCGGTTTTGTTTTTAGTTTTTTGTGTTGAGAGTAAATAAAATTTCCTTCGCCTTCCTAAATTTATCGAGGTTATGCACTTACCTCTCTTCCAATGTCTTTGCTATAATTACCCTTAACACTTTTATTCTTGTATTACACCCTGCAAGCAAAATCAGCAAAATTATCGACTCACAATAACCAAAAATTAAAATTATTATGGAGCAGAATTTACACACATCTATTCCTTACACTAGAGATGGAAAAAACATGATTAATATAATAATAATAATAATATAATATCTTAATTAGTTGATGTACATACTTTGATGATGATGTTTAATAAATACCTATATTATAATTTAGTAACTGAAATATTTCATATGAAATATACAGTTAATACGTCTTAAAAATAAAAATATCTACTTACTAGTTTAATAAAAATAACTATAGTATATTTTAAGAGTACGTTTAGACATCAACCCGATTCAACACATCCGAGGTTTATATTATTTTTTTGTTTATTTTTATCTATTATTAAAAACCGAACCGAATACACACGAACACCACCTGCTTTTTATTTATTAATTTTTTCACTTATTTATTTTTTTATAATCTATTTTTTAATCTCTTTTTTATTATTTTTTATTATTTTTTATTAATTTTTTCTAAACATAATATGTTACAAGTTTAACTAACTACAAGACAGAAATTACAAAATAGTTACGAAATCTCAAGACAAAAAAGCCGGACTGAATTCAAGACGACGACCCAGACACCGAACTAAGGACAATGACTTAAATATTAGTACTTGGAATGTAAGAACGCTGTGTGAGACAGCGGGACTAAAGTTGCTCCAAGATCAATTCCTAAAATATAATAGAGACTGAAATCATTCAAGAGATACGACGGACTGAAACCGTCACTAGGCATAAAAAGAACATCTATTACAGCTACAACCAGCACTAACACAAGTTTGTAAACATTCCCTTCACGATGTTACTAAAGACAATGGGTTAATATGTATTAGTATGGCAGCTGCCAAAGACATGATTATGGAAAGCACATGTTTTAATCATAAGAATATTCATAAACCAACTTGGATATCACCAAATGAAAATACCACAAACTAAATAATTGATAATCAATTATCAATGACAAAAGGCACTTTACGAACCTAATGAGCGTCAGAAGTTACAGAGTTACTGAAAAATTTGCCTCAATGGAGTTAGCTATTTTGCAGATTAAGCCATCGATATAGCATATAGTCTGATAAAAGAAGAAGAAAATTCTTTAAATACGTGATCGAAAGATGCAACGATTCGACTTTTTCAAGTATTCAGATCTTTCCAATCAGTTGTGAGCCAAAAATCATAAAGAAAGGTTTACATGTTGTATTTAATGTACTATTCGTTATTACATTGTCTCTCCAATAATTTCTTTTATGAGACTACTAAAAATAATAACGTTAAATACACGATAAGAAGAGGAAATATTTTATGTTTAACATGCAGAATACTAGCAATTACTATTTTTGTTGAGAATAAGCCACAATTTTACTTTAAAATTAAGTTTAATAAAAAATCAGTTGTAGCTTATTCCCAACAAAAATAATAAATTACATTAAAATGCAAATGAAAAAAGAAAATAGCTTCAGAACAATTCTAAGAATACTAGCAATTTACAAATCTCTGGATAGGATGCAATATTCCACGATATGGAACATGTACTTTTGCAAACATTGTATACATTGACCAATACAGCATAAAATTAATTCTAAATTTAATGGACTTTAACAATAGGTTTTCTCTAAAAGCTTATATTTTGACGTCTACATTAAATTACCTGTTTCAGTATTACCAGATGTAATCATTTATAAATAATAATAAATCTGCAATTGGATAACCAATTAAAAGCTGCTCAAACACAGAGTTCACTTCCGCGCTGATATGCGGTGGAAACAGACTCAGTGGTTTGGGTGGGACCCATATTTCTAAACAAATAACCTAGATGATATTAACAGTGTGTTTTAGACGGATCTTACTGCAGTTGGTTTATTGTACATTTTCCAATTCTTCAGTTTTTCTAGAGTCTGCAGTACGAATGAGATCAGACTTATCGGGCTCATGCTATCGGGCGTGAAAAGTGAGTAGAGTTGTGCACGGATAAATGCAGAGAAATATTACTTGATGGCATCCTGCCCAGTATATACCATATCAGTCAAGGAGATGAGAACCACAAAAAAATTCCTTTCAATTCAGAACTATAAACTACTTTACGTAATTAATAGGCTGCTTAGTCGCTACTATGTTACACGATTTGCCTACTACTGGTAATACGATGATAAAAACGCTGATGCTAACTTTGATATATGCTCCCCAAAAATTCAAATAACCCATTTATATAATTTATATCATTTTAATATAATAAAGCTATCGTTAATCTTAAACCAAAACACTATTCATTTTATAAAGACTAACAGTATACATACCTTGGTCTTGCCCTACCTTGTCCGTCCAGCTCAATGGTAGGTACTCCCAATCTAACAAGTCGTGTGAACAAGCTCTGTTCCATATTAGAATATTTTTGAAAGGCCATATTCTTAATAACTGGCGGTAACTGATGATGGTCCCCGATCATTATCCACCTTTTTAGTCTATTAAATCCATCCTGTGGGTTCTGGAGGAGAAGTGGGATAAACGTTTCGATTTCCAAAATCTGAGCTGATTCTTCCATTAAAATATTATCATATTTAAAACCTACAAAATTCATGAAGCACGTCAATAATATTGTTACGAACATGCATTTAGCGTGGATTACCTAACGGTCGCATCTCGAAGCACCGAGAGTTTCGGCGATATTTCGAGCGCTGTAAAATTCCACCCGTCGAATAACGAATTAGAGGTGGGACTATTCTCGAATATTCTCGAACATAATACTTTGGTATATATATGTAACGAAATTAGGATTTAAGTTTAGTTGATAAGAGAATACCGAACTGTAAAGTTATAAATAAATATATTTATATAAATTCGAACCGCTCGTTTTATTTAAAAACGGTACAGTTGGTGTCGGTGTGAGATTTGAATATAAATGCAACAGTGATTTTTTGAAAAAGACTTGAATTTTTGAAAAAGACTTTTGAACTTTTGAAAAGTATTGTTCGTCGGGAACATCCGCGTAGTTCGGTAGTGAACGTTGTACGAAAGAACATTTCAAAAAGTACGTGTGTGCCTGACCAAAGATGCTGCTAGTAGAACTTTCAGTGAAACAGTTGCGTGAGCAACTAGAAGAACGCGATGAAGAATGCAGCGGGTCCAAGAAGATACTACAAGAACGACTGAAAACTGTTCTCAAAAAGAATGGAGATGACCCAGAGACATTCCATTTTCAATCAGCAGAAGAAGCAGTTTTAATGAAGATCGAAGAAAGTTCTAGAAAAAATGATGAGAATGTTTCCAAAAGATTCGATGAAACATCTCAAATTATTAAAGAAGCAGCTAGACAAAATGACGAGAAATTTGAAAATGTTGCTAGAAGATTCGACGAGACTTCTCAAATAATTAAAGAAATATGTAATCAAAACAATGAGAAATTTGAAGAAGTCTCAAGAACATTTGATCAGATGCAGAAAAATGTAAACAACGTAGAAGAGAAGATCAAACAATTAGAGACCATGATAACTAATACGAAAGTGCTACCACCCGTTAATACGGTAGCCTTAGAACCGGTAGTGAAAGAAGAATCACCTAGAGACGAAATGACACATCATATGAGATTCAAATTGCCACCATTTGATGGAAAGTCCTCTTGGTCCATATACCTTAGACAATTTGAAGCTATTGCGACAGCCAATCATTGGACAGAACAAGAAAAGGCTGTTTCCTTGACTGCTGCTTTACGAGGTGATGCTGCAGATATCCTAAGATCGATTCCTAAGGGTCAAGAAAAATGTTACCAGACCTTGTTTACTAGACTAGACAAACGTTACGGAGATGCCCATCTACAACAAGTCTACAAGGCACAACTAAGAAGTAGAACTCAACGAGCAAGTGAGAATTTGCAAGAGTTTGAAGCAGATGTTGCTCGTATAGTGCGGTTGGCTTATCCGGAGGTACCAGACAACATTTTGGAAGAAATTGCCGTAGATACCTTCGTCAATGGGTTTAAAAGAAAGTGAATTACAGAAAGCTTTACGACTAGCAAGACCGAAAGTTCTAGATGAAGCGCTCGCTATTGCCTTAGAACATGAAACAGCTAGTCAAACTTCACGGATCCATCGAGTAAGAACCATTGAAGAAGGCGACGAACCAAACGATGAACGTCTAGCAGAAATGGTACGAAAAATAGTTCATAACACGATGCCGAAGAGACGCGAGCCCAGATGTTGGAATTGTGGTGACGTAGGACACATTCGCCGTAATTGCAAGAAAATGATACAACAGTCGGAAAACTAGAACGGGTCGACACTAAGGGGCAACTGCCGACCTCGAGAAACACAGCCCCCATAGTAACTGTGAACATTACGTCCTCCGGTGGAATTCATAGCTTGTACATCGAGGGTCGTATTAACAATAAATGTAAAAACAATAATGGTCGTATTAACAATAATGTAGAAAGTTGGGGCTGTATTGAATGTCAAAGATGGAGTTCTCCAGATCGGTCGTGAAGAGTTGCCGTTTCATGAAGACAAAGAAGATGTTATCAGCTTAATAATTACTTGTGACGTAACAATACCCGGTAATAGTGAGAAAATTTTGATGGCCAGACCTGATAGTTACTGCCGAGAGGGAAGTTTAAGGATGGTCGAAGATGTGAACAATGCCGAGTTCCTAACGGCAAAAGCTTTGGTGAGAATTCGAGATGTCGTTCCTGTAAGAGTTATGAATTTAAAGGGAACTGCTATTAAGTTAAGTAAAAGAACTTTGATCGGACAGTGTGTTCCCGTGGCTTCGATTTGTTCCATGAAAACTAATGAGAAACCGTCGAAATCTAAGTATCCAAAGGAGCTTGTTGAGACGATGATTAAAACGTGCCAAGATCTTGATGATGAACGAACTAAAAAAGTAAAGTCTATGCTGATAGAATTTCAAGATGTTTTTGCTGTTGATAAGAAGGATAATGGCAAAACAAGCATAGTAAAGCACAAAATTAATACCGGAGACGCTCAGCCAATCAGACAACAACCTAGACGACTTCCATTTGCGAAAAGAGATGAAGCCGAAGACATCATCAAAGATATGAGCAAACAAGGGGTAATTGAACCATCAAACAGTCCATGGACGTCACCAGTAGTACTAGTAAAGAAGAAAGATGGTTCAACACGTTTTTGTATTGACTACCGACAGCTCAATGCGGTAACTAAAAAAGATAGTTATCCTTTGTCCAGAATAGACGATACTTTGGATACACTTTCTGGTTCTCGTTGGTTCTCCACACTCGATCTGAAAAGTGGATATTGGCAAGTAGACATGGAGCCAGCTGATCGTGAGAAAACCGCATTCTCGATAGGATCAGGGCTTTGGCAGTTCACAGTTATGCCCTTTGGTTTATGTAATGCCCCAGCCACATTTGAAAGATTAATGGAGGCAGTTTTAAGAGGTCTAACATGGAAAACATGCCTGGTTTATTTGGATGATGTAATTGTAGTAGGAAGATCCTTCGATGAACATGCCAATAATTTGACAGAAGTCTTTCAACGATTGCGGGCAGCAAATTTGAAGTTAAGTCCGAAGAAATGTCACTTGTTTCGACGAGAAGTAAAGTACTTGGGACATATTGTAGCAAGTAATGGTGTAACAGCTGATCCTGAAAAACTTGCAGCAATTAAGGATTGGCCGGTACCAAGAGACAAACACGAAATTAGAAGTTTTCTTGGCCTTTGTACACATTACCGACAATTTTGTCAAAGGATTTGCCAACATCTCCAAGCCATTAACAAAGTTGACAGAAGAAGGCAAAGAATATACATGGAGCGAAGAGTGCCAAAGAGCTTTCGAACACTTACAAATGGCTCTGATCAGCGCACCGATTTTAAGCTACCCTAGACAGGCAGGAAAATTTGTGTTGGACACCGATGCAAGCAACAGTGCAATAGGAGCTGTTCTATCCCAAATCCAAGATGGGCAGGAGAAAGTCATCGCTTACTTTAGCAAAGTCTTGTCGAAACCAGAAAGAAACTATTGCGTTACCAGAAGAGAATTGCTAGGCGTAGTAAAGGCTTGCGAGCATTTTCATAAATACTTGTATGGCAGAAAGTTTCTTCTTCGCACGGATCACGCTGCTCTAAAATGGCTCCTACAATTCCGTAATCCAGAGGGCCAGATGGCAAGATGGTTAGAACGATTACAAGAATATGATTACGAGATCGAACACAGGGCTGGAAGAGTTTATTTAAATGCTGATGCGCTTTCGAGAAGGCCGTGCAGTGAACATTGTAATCACTGTCTTAAATTAGAAGAAAGACTTTGCCCCGTGAGACGAACCACCGTCATTAATGATCAATGGCAGCCTCAACAGCTACAAGACGCTCAAGCAGATGATTCATGTATAAAAAGAGTATTGGATTGGATGCGTCGAAGTGAAAGGCCCTCTTGGCAAGACATCAGTGCATGTAGTCCTGAAGTCAAGTGTTACTAGAGCCAATGGAATTGCCTAGTGTTAAAAGATGATCTTCTTTATAGAACCTTTGAGAACGATGATGGTACAGAATCTAAGCTTCAGATGATTGTACCTAAAAGTAAAGTGTCAGAAGTATTGCGTCAGTTACATGACGGTGCATCAGGAGGACACTTTGGTGTTACGAAGACTCTGCAAAAGGTTCGAGAACGGTTCTATTGGGTGAACTGTAAAGATGATGTTAGAAGATGGTGCCGGAAATGTGAACTGTGTGCAACCAGTAATGGTCCAGTTGGAAAAAAGAGGGCACCCATGAAACAGTACAATGTTGGTAGTCCTATGGAAAGAGTAGCAATCGACATTGCAGGTCCACTTCCAGAGACAAACGATGGAAATAAATATATCCTGGTAGCCATGGATTATTTTACAAAATGGACTGAGGCCTATGCGATACCAAATCAGGAAGCTGCTACCGTTGCAGAGGTACTTGTTAAAGAATTCTTTAGCCGATTTGGTGTTCCCTTGGAGATCCACTCCGACCAAGGGCGAAACTTCGAGTCGACTCTTTTCCAAAACGTTTGTAAATTGATTGGTGTCAATAAGACCAGAACGACACCCCTGCATCCTCAATCAGATGGAATGGTCGAGAGAATGAACCGAACGATGGGTAAACACCTGTCAAAAGTTGTATCAGAACATCAAAGAGATTGGGACCAGCACATTCATTTATTCTTAATGGCCTACCGCTCGGCCGTGAATGAAACTACCGGCCAGACTCCAATCTGTCTGATGTTAGGCCGTGAAGTTCGTTTGCCCTGCGACCTAGAGTTTGGCTCCAGACCTTCCGAAGAACATGTTGCAAGCGAAGATTATGTCGACCGCCTGAAGTTAAGAATGAACAACATTCATGAACTTGCCCGACAACACATCCAGTTAGTCAGTGACAGAATGAAAGATCAATATGATTCTCGATGCAAGAATGAAAGCTATAAAGTAGGTGATCTTGTTTGGCTTTATAATCCACAACGTCGTCGTGGCTTGTCTCCTAAACTGCAAAGACAATGGGAGGGTCCGTATGAAATTAAAAAGAGAATAAATGACGTAATATACCGAATTAAAAAGTTACCTAAAGGTAAACCAAAAGTAGTTCACATAAATCGGCTTGCACCTTATGCTGGCTCAAATGAAACAGAAGAAGCACGAATCCTTCAACATGAGATCGAAGATGACCGGCGACCAAGCTTTAATGAATTTATGTCAAATTACGCAGAGAGAAAGAGTGCTAGATTCGGCGTGACGACAGAAGTTCAGCAGGATCTTTTTAGTGTTCCGCATAACGTCACTCTAGCCCACTGGGTTGCCCAAGATCTTAAGATGACTAAAGGAATCTCATCCGTATTTCATAAGAAATTTGGTCGCTTGGACGAGTTAAAAAACCAGCAGCCTAAAGTTGGAAGAGTGCTGAGATTAGAAGATGGTTCTCGATCTTTGTTGTATATGGTGACCAGAAAGTCGTATACAGACAGGGCAAGCTACGAGGATATATGGCGTGCTCTGACTAATTTGAAGAAAATCGTCTGCAATTACGACATTAAGAACTTGGCTTTACCCAAGATAGGCCATGCACTAGATAATCTGGATTGGAAGATTGTCAGAAGCATGCTTGAAGTGATCTTCCGAGAAACCGGTGTAAGAATTACTGTGTGTTGCATTAATCCGAAGAGATCGTGTCCTTGAAAGACAGTAGACTGTTATTTCTTTCTGAGGGGTTCATGCAGAGCTGGAGAGTCCTGTAGATTCCGCCATCCTGGGCCTATAGATAGAGTTCCTGATCGGGACGCTCAGATCTAAGAGGGGAGCAGTGTTACGAACATGCATTTAGCGTGGATTACCTAACGGTCGCATCTCGAAGCACCGAGAGTTTCGGCGATATTTCGAGCGCTGTAAAATTCCACCCGTCGATTAACGAATTAGAGGTGGGACTATTCTCGAATATTCTCGAACATAATACTTTGGTATATATATGTAACGAAATTAGGATTTAAGTTTAGTTGATAAGAGAATACCGAACTGTAAAGTTATAAATAAATATATTTATATAAATTCGAACCGCTCGTTTTATTTAAAAACGGTACAATATGTATTATTATTTTATTAAATTATTTCATTAACTTTTTAAAATTAATTATGCAAGAAATTTAGGCGCGCTAGTACTGACTCATACTGGTTATAGTGAAATGCAAAATAAAAACAAATGGGGCCAGAAATGAAAGAAATCACCAAAGCATGAATAAAACCAAAGCAATTGTACAATTAACTAAAATTAAGAAAACGAGAAGGGACAACTAGAGCAACTATCGAAACAGTACAATATAAAAAATATTTGTACATAGAAATTTTTATACGATAAAAATGAGTTAAAATATAATACAATGTAGAAGATACCTCATTCACATTGTGAGAAACAGCGAAAGATAGATTGCTGCAACAAATTATAGAAGGAAAAGTAAAAGGAAAGCTCGGACCAGGAAGGCGAAGGATGGCTGAAAAATCTACGTACGTGATTTAACACAACAACCACACATCTTTTCAGAGTAGCAGTATGCAAAGTACAGATTACCATGATGGTTGCCAATATCCGGAACGGATAGGCACGATAAGAAGAAGGTGCAGAGAAAACGTGACATCTATATAGGCAGAAGAATGGTAGAAGGAAATAATAATGACAATAACAAAATAAAAATAATAAAAATGATGTTAAAACTTGAATGTTACGTTTATGACACGAAGCCTATCCATGGTTAGATATATTATAATAAATAAAGTTAAAGATAATAATTAATAAAATTAGGATAAACAATAACTGGGTCATGTAATGAGCGGAAATAACTATTGAAAGAAGACATTACACTTAATGGAGAAGTAATGTTGTCCAGCTATTTTAGTTCTCTTATTTTAGCTTTGTTTTCATTTCATTTTTTATGGTTAAAATGGTTTCTTTTGCACAGATTCGTTAATTTTATTTTTAAATCGGAGTCCTACATAATCGCACATTAAAATCAACTATTTCATACCAATATCCACGAGTTCCTTCCTTTTCAAAGCCGCATGAGTACAAGTCATCGCGATAATTTTTGCTTCTTTTACCAATAAATACTTCGACCTATCCAAACCAGATCTTAACAGTTCAAATGCTCTAAATTCTTCAAGTTCCTTGAAGATATGATCTATATATCTAAAACAACCCTCAGCTACTTCGAGATCTTCTTCAAAGGACTGTTGTTTAAACAGAGGCTGGGGAGCATTACTGAAGAAATCGTGGAATGGGAATTCATCCGATATTATCTTCGGGGGTAGGACCTAAAATATAATATTAAATATATTAAAATAATTATCATTTCATTATAAAGATTTTTTGTATTATTTAACGCATGTTCGAGATGGGATCACAAATGGGATAAAGTGAAATGGCACAAAAGTTAGTAAAAACAGTTCTTCTCATTATCTCTCAGAGTGTGGCCGATTTGAATGTTTTTTATTGTAGCGTGAGTTTTTATAAACTAAACTGACGATATGGTTTCTGATGATGACAAATTCACTAAATAAGCAAGAGCTTACTTACATAAAACCCAGATAAAAGATAGCAAAGTGTGTAACTCCGTTACGGCCGTTAGTACGCAAGTTCTGAGTACAATATAACAAAATCGATGGCAGTACTAATACTAACACTTACCTTCTTCGATTTAGGTTTAACAACACTCAAGTAATGCTCCCATCTTGACAGAACTTGATATAAGTAAAAATGTCCAGCAGTCTCACAGGTATAAGCAACGTCACCATCTACTTTCAAAGACTTCTGCAGCTTCTCAACTTCCATTAACAAATCCAGTCTTTTAGCTAAAACATAATTTACTCTACCATATCTGCTAAAATCTTTCTCGGTTTCCAGAGCCTCTTCACCGTGACCAAGACGCAACAAGTGCCTTTCGTCTATATCTAAAGCAACAATTTTTTCGAACAGCTGATTTAATGCTTGATTCGAATGTGTTACGATAAGCGTTCTTTGATTGGGAAAATTGTGGTAGAGATTGGAAATTATTTGAACGGCTACATCAGTCTTTCCGGTACCAGGTGGACCAACGACTAGGGTTAAGCCAGGTTGCATGCCAGATTTAATGGCCTCAACCTGAGTTGGAGTGAAGGGGATCATATTTCTAAAAACAAGCAAGATTATTAAAGTTTTCATACCATCCCCTACAAAATAGAATACAATTATTACAAAATGAAATAAAGCAACATTTCAGTCAATCTAAAAGAGAGTATAATCTAAATGAGTGCTGTTACAGCTATAGTGAGAATTTAAATTCTATAAAATTCGAAAATAATAATAATATTTAGTGGTTTAGTTATAATTATTTATTCATATTCTTCTTCTCGTGCCACTCCTAGCGGAGATTGGAAATCATCATGGCCACTGCGACTTTGTTAGCAGCGCGCCTGAAAAGTTCAATCGAACTACACCCGAACCATTCACGTAGATTACGAAGCCACGATATTTTTCTTCTTCCCACACTTCTTTTGCCCTTAATTTTGTCCTGCATGATGTTTCTTAAAAGTTCGTACTTTTTACTTCTCACAATGTGCCCCAAGTATTCCATCTTTCTAATTATTTATAACATAATATATTTGTGAAAGCCGTTCAGAGATATTTAAAAAAAAATGCTAAAAAATATACACTATTTTTATGCAGAGTATTATTTATACGGTAGTACGGAATATATGATACAGAAGGAGGAGCGATGATAAATGCAGAATAACTTGTAAAACACAAACATATAAAGTTATAAGAAAACAAGGAGAGTAAAATAAAACGGGAAATAACAGAAACAATCACTAAATTTTTTTGTTGTTCGTTTACTCACTTTTTTTCTTCGTTTAGTAAGTCAAAAAGAAACCATAAAGACATTTGTTGGTAAATCTAATGGTAATTTTTGCTTTAGGAGTCTCGTTTATTGACAATTGTCTAACAAATTGAACGCTAACATACACTGCACTCCAAAATTAACGCATGATTTTAAAAACCCTGGTAAATCAAATAATTTTAACGTTTCGATTTTGGTGCTAATATATTATTGTTAGCCCCGGTATATTGTAAAATTTATCGAAAGAACTGTAAAAAACGCTGATGTTTTTACGATTTTTTGCAAAAAAAATTAAAAACATGTCAATTATGCTTCATCTTATTTCTAATTTAGTTGAGTTGGAGTACGTTATGCTGAACGTTTAAAGGGGTTTTTCAAGTTTATTAAGTGTTTTTTCTTTGAAATGAACCAACAGCAGCAAGAAAATCGAAATTTGTCAGAAAGTGACTGTTTTAGAATCGTTACTCTTCGCGAAGAAGGATACACTCAAGTAGAACTCGCTGAACGTTTTAACGTAACCCAGACAACCATTTCAACAGTGTTAACACGTTTTTCTGTTACTGGAAGTAACTAGAGAAGACCCGGTCAAGGCCGTAGAAGGGTTACAACTCCTAATCAAGACCGGTTTTGACACTTCGTACACTGAGACAAAGATTTGTTATCAGTACTTCTCTACAAAATGAATTTTTTGGATCGTTATAACTTTAGAATCAGCCAAAATACGATTAGAAGAAGACTTGCAGAAAACGACCTACACCCTGAAAGGGCACCAATTGGCCCATTGTTGACCAGAGACCATAGAAGGCAAAGATTGCATTTTGCGCGTGAACATGTTGATTGGAATAATGACGATTGGGGAAGATTATTGTTCACCGATGAATCCGGGTACTGTCTTTTTTCTGATGACAGAAGAAACCGAGTGTGCAGAAGGCCTGGGGAACGCTACGCACAGTGTAACGCCGTAGGGACTGTACAGTATGGCAGCGGCTTGTTAATGGTGTGGGGTGGGATTAATTTAGAGGCTCGTGTGGAATTAGTTAGAATAGATCGCGGTCGGCTTACATCGCAGAGGTATATAACAGACAATTTAGAAGAGCATGCCGTGCCATTTGCACCATTTATTGGGGATAATTTCATGCTTATGCAAGATAATGTCAGGCCACACACGGTAAGAATTGTGCAGCAGTATCGTCAGGAGGTTGGAATTCCTGCCATGGATTGGCCTGCAAGAAGTCCTCACCTCAACCCAATAGAACATGTTTTGGACATCATAGGCAGACGACTACGACAACTACCTAATGTACCAAACACATTGGGTGAGCTGTTTTTGCGGTTGGTTGAAATTTGGGATCAAATTGATCAAGAAGAAATCGAACGATTATTCTCAGTATGAGAAATCGTTGTCAAGCAGTAATAACTACCAGAGGAGGCAATACTCGATACTAGTACACGGCACTAGTATTTTCTTCAACTTTAAAAATTTCAATTTCGTCATTAATTTATAATGTTGGTTTGTTTACATCAGTTGTTTGTTTAGATGTTTAGATTTATGATGTTATATTGTTAATTTTAATACATTTTTTGTAAAAAAAGAAAAGTTTTTTATTTAAGATGTTCTAAAACAACCATAAAACAGAAAAGAACAAACAAAAATGTTTTCATTATAACTCAAAATAAGAATTTTAAAATTATGCGTTAATTTTGGAGCGCAGTGTATTTGGGTGGTTCTCTAATCGTTTTAAATATTTATCACTATGTGACACTATCACTTCTCTTATAGATCTTATCTTACTTATAGATCTTGTAGTATGTCTTTGTTGCCTACAAACCATGGCGCATCAGTTATGCTCTAATGCCTTGTTTTGATATCGGTCCATGATTGCTAGGTTGGATTTTGAAGCAGTGCCCACACTTCTTCTCTATTCAGTACGTCCAAATTGGCTTCAGTATGGCATTATACGCTAGTAGTTTGTTTCGCAACGACAACTGGAACTTTCCTGGAGTTTTCCAGGCGAGTCTCTTATCCATATGTAAGCTGTTTACAGTTTCTACCGTTGGAAGGGCAGGATTGTTGAGTAATATTTGACTAATAATATCTGGTTTGATTTAGATTCATTAAGTTTTATCTTCCACTGCTTAATCCATTTCAGGACTTAATTTAAGTTTTCTTGCAGTTTTTCTGCTGCAACAACGGAATTTGAGTGTACCGCCATTATTGCGGTATCGTCCGCAAATGTGGCTGTATGTACTTTATCGTCAGTAGGCAAATCGGATGTAAATAGTAGGTAAAAGATCGGTCCAAGAATACCTTGAGAAACGCCTGCCTTTATGAGATGTAGACCGGTTATTTCATCTTCATATTTTACCTGGAAATATATTTCTTTTAGTTACGAGTAATGTATGTCATACATGTTCTTGTGTAGGCCCTTTTTTATTTAATACAGTAGTCTATGATGTCACACCTTGTCAATAGCTTGACTCACATCGATGAATGCAGATGAGCAATATATTGCTTATTTTTAAAATAGTTTTGAATTGATTCTACCAGTCGATGGATCTGTTCAATTGTTTTGTTGTTCAATTGTTCAAATGTTTGGCTCTAAATCCAAATTGGTGTGTCGCATGTCGGTAGAAGTTCTTTTTCTGCAATAATTTTTATTAGTCTCTTAGCTAGTAATATTTCCATAATTTTCGAAATGACAGGTAGTAGACTTATTGGTCGGTATGAGGTCGTCCCTTGTTGAGGATTACCATGTTTCGAGATTAGGATTATTTGCACTATCTTCCATTGTGCTGGAAAATATTTAAGTCTTATGACAGCGTTTTTAAGGTTAACATAAGTTTCTAATTTCGCGGTAGGAGTATTTTGCTACGATATCTACGATATGACTCCCTGGTTGTTTTTTTTTTACTTGCAGGTATCCCATACTCTTTGTCAGATTTGTGGATCACATCAAATCCACAAGTTGTGTCTTCTTGTTTTGACGCTTGTCCACAAAAATCTCACTACCACTAATCATAATTTTTTTGTATTCTTTTCATTTCTGTATTCTTTCTTCAGAGCAGAGAAACTCGTGTATCTCGGCAGTATTAACAATGAGAGCTGGGATCCAACCTTAGAAATTAAAAGTCAAATAGAACTGGCCCGACGTACATTTGTAAAAATGAAAAATGAAGAACGTACTTAGCAGCTACGATCTTAGTATTGACCTCCGCAACAATGGCATATTGCTATATTTTTCCAGTGCTAGTATATGGAGTGCAAACGTAGACTCTAAATGAGGCTATGCTTAAACGCTTGGAAGCCTTTGAGTGTAGGTGTAAAAACCATATAAACCACTACTAACAATAAGTTAGATCGACAGAGTTAGAAATGGGGTTTTTAGACGGCTGAACCAAACCACATAACTTGTGGGTATAATAAAGAGATGCAAACGGAATACTTTAGGTCACATTATGAGACACCCTGAAGAATATGAAATTTTGCATCTCATCATTCAGGGAAGGTCAACGTGGTCCTGGTAGAAGAAAAACATTAGAGTTGAAACATCTAAAAAAATGATGCAGAAAATCGACTTCTTCTTTAAGTGCCATCTCCGCGACGGAGGTTGGCAATCATCATGGCTATTCTGACCTTCGAGGCAGCTGCTCTGAACAATTGCCTTGAGCTGCAACCAAACCACTCTCTCAGGTTCTTCAACCAGGAATTGCGTCTTCTTCCTACGCTTCTCTTACCCTCTATTTTTCCTTGAATTATGAGACTCAAAATGTTGAATCTTTCTAGAGATGATACGAAATACTAGGAACAAGTATTTGGTAATAGGTATGAGCATATAACGTAACGTAACAGTTACCGGTTTTCTAAAATACTAGTTCCAGTTCCATCTAGATTTTTTCAACGACACGACGGACACACGGAATGAATCAAGCCTGGTAACTGTAACTGGTACTGTTACTGTGGCGATACTGTTACTGTATTCGATATCTGCGCTGCGCTTTGATATCGATATTTTGGTATTGGTATTTTGGATACCGATACGTACCGGGACCAGTTATATTTATTGGGTAGGTAAAAGTTCTAGTTTGTAGTTACTGAGGATTGGCGGTTCGGACGTCGGGATTATTACGGTGGTGTATGCAAGATGTGAAATTATACGTATTAAATCTGTGATAATATTGGTCCCTTGTTGTTACTATATTATTTTAGAAGTTTTTAAATTTGATTTTGTTTGAGCGTAAAACATTTTTCCATGAAACTAAAATAAAAGAGTATATAAATTATTATTTACTATTTACTAAAATAAACTAGATAAGTGTACCTAACACAAAAATTAAAACAAAAAAAAAACAATGAGATCGTTTTGAAAAAATAATACACGAGTAGTTAACAAAATACAAAATATAACTTTATGTAAAACATTCAAAAAACATTAGAAAAAAGACATGTCCAAAAAATGAAAAGAACATAGGTCCAAAATTTTTATAGTAAAACTAGAGTTCAGCTAGTAATGGTGCTCTTTACAGAAATGTTAAAGTAATAATTATCAAAATGAGAATTAAAACAAATACTTACCAACAATCGTCGGTATATTGCATTCTGTGACGATATATTTGTCATTATAAAAAACGTTATCTAAGAAGAGATATAAGAACAAGATATAAGGCAGGAGGTAGAAAACATGGACTAAGAATAAACCAAAAGAAGACAAGGTATATAGTAATAAGAAAAACGTAGCAAGAAGATGATGAAGACTAAAGCGACACAGAAGACAAGCAGAAGAATAGAGATTTGAAATAATGCGAGGATTTACTTACCAGAAAGTAAACATCAGAAAAATGGTAAAGGGAGTCAAGATCGATAGTTACATAATCAGTCACTATTCATATATACTTACTTGGATACTATAAGAACAATATATAAGGCAGGAGGTAGAAAATATGGACTAAGAATAAACCAAAAGAAGACAAGGTATATGGTAGTAAGCAAAACGTAGCAAGAAGATGATGAATACTAAAGCCACACGCAAAACAAGCAGAAGAACAGAGATTTAAAATAATACGAGAATTTACATACCAGAAAGTAAACATCAGAAAAGATGGTAAAGGGAGTAAGGTCCATAGTTACATAATCATTCACTGTTCATATTGTATACTTACTTTTTCGGTTCATTAAATAAATAAGGCCCACGTCGGGGAATTACGTGTGGTTCGACAACAATAACTTTCTCAACTTCTTCATTTCCCTCTTCGTCCTTACCAAGATCTTCAAATGTAAGCTTAAAAGGCCGAATTAATTTCTTTGGATCATCAGTAATAACTTTAATTTGGTAATCGGGGAAACACGATCTTAAGTGATCCATATCGATGAAAGTATCATTGAAATCGACGGTGGGTATTTGATTTGGCATTTTCTTGTAGTTGGCAGCGCTGGGATCACCATATCCCAAAATAATATCATGTAACCATTCGGGAACTACACACTCTGTATTCATTAATTCACGGATTGTTTCTAAAACTGCCTTGAAATTATTTTCCTTTGGCTTTCTTCTCATCAATATGTTGAAACCTACAAAACAAGTAAATTTTTTAAATTAACAACAGCATTGAATATTTATATAACTCTACTTGTACTATATCCTAGATGAAGAGTTATTGAAGAACGTTTAAAATCTTGTTTGTGGACGATATTTATGGATTGTATTGTTCTAACGCTTAAAATCCCCATACGTCTAATAGGATAGCCGGGTATCAGACACTGAGTTTATGTTAGACTAAAGGTACTTTCTACAGTGATCTTCCCTAAGTGTATATGTAAAAGGAAAAGATAATGATGAAGTAATGAGTCTTTGCACTTTTTGTAACTCTATCACCTCCGTCTTCTGTTGCTGTTTTCTTGATATTTTGTTTGATCAAACAAGCGCAGCTTAACTAATAATGCGGCTGACAACAATTATACGAGGTGGCCGGATGAAATCGATACAAAGACTAGACAATATTTTTGAAGAAACTAGCGACAGGTCAATTTTTGATTAAAGGGGGATACATTTTTCCGGTAGTTTCGATTATTGTACTTAATACTCCTAAACCACTGTGAGAATTACCTTAACATTTTTTAATGGCAATGGGGTTAATTAAAATATCGTTTTAAATCCCCTTGAAATTCCCTGTACATAAGATTTAAAATTTTTAAATTCGGTCCAATGCTTTATTTTATTTATTTAAAAATTCAAAAGACTTTTAAATTTTAAATTGTATTTATTTGATTAATTATTTTCTTGTGAATATCAGTTGTAAGCATTAATTCGCAGTCTTTGAAAATTTATTAAAATGTACGTTTCGTTGTATTTTATGAACAATAAATGTGCCAAAATAAGAACTCAGCAATTTAATAAACGTTATCAAGATAAACACGACAGTAGGAAGTGTTTTTTGTATTTAGTAAAAAAATTTCAGGGAGCTGGGAATGAAAGTAATAAAAAACGAGGACGTGAGAGGCATGTAGTATATAAACCTAGTGAAACTGCAGTCTTAGACCTAGATTCCATATTAAGTATGAGGCAAGTAGCAGCTGTATCTGGAATTAACCGTACTACCGTCCAAGCCATTAAAAAAAAAACAAATTTGACCTATACAAAATACACTTAGTACAGAAACTTAATCAGGATGATTATGACCGACGTTTACAGTTTTGTAAAATAAGCAGTGATCGAGAAGTAATTAACCGTTATTAGATGAGTTTTGTTTTCGCCACCCCCCCTCCCCAGCACTCTGTATATGCCCAATACATTTAGGTTTGAGACCTGATGTTTTGCCAAAAAGCTGGCACATCCATATAGTCACTATTACTTTAGCGGTAATATTTTTATGGTATACATTTCGCAAAACGTTGGTATCAAGGATAATTCAGAGATACTTAACCGAGAAATCAATTTACTTGCGCGACGTCAATATTGTTCATTCGTAGGAACTAAGTAAGAGATAAATACATAATAAAAATTTAACTGTTAATAAATAAGTTAGAAAATATATAATATTGAAATAACAGCGAAAGAAAAATAAGTCCAAGGTTGATAGGCGAACGGGTTTACCCCTAAAAAGACACTTAGAAACGGGATATACCGACTGAATTTTTTTTGCATTTCTACTATACCAAATCTTTTTTATCCGATTCTATATTTTTTCAAATTCAAATATATATATTTTTAATTTTTGTCGGAAATTGGTATTAACAAATAACATAAAAAAAATTCCTGAAGAGCTTCGAGTAAAATTTTTTAGGTGTATCTCATCGAAATAAACACTTTTTCTCCCTTGGCAATTTTTCTAATAATGCTTCTTTTACTAGTTATTTGCAATTTGTTGTTGAAAAAATGCCTTAATTAGTGATTTTTAGGATTTTTTTCTAAAAAACTACTAAATGAATTGCAATTCTACAGAAAGTTTTATAATCTGTAGACCTTCACGTACAAGTAATATTATTTTGACAAGGATAAGTGGTTTCTATCTTGCTAAAGGCACTTTTTGTGTAGAAAAGAAACTATTAATAATAAACACAATTTCAAAGGGAGATCACCAGCAGATACACCTGAACAACCAAAAAGACTTTATATGTATAAATGAGGCGTTGAGCGCGATAGTGGCCCAAAGCCTGTAACATTCAATTCGGAGAAAATCGGGGACAAAGTTTTCTCTGTTTTTCGAGGATTAATTTGAACAACTCAAACTGGATTTACTGTAATATTTTCTTTTATGAGTATGCATATGGGTACTAAGCAATACTGAAATGTGTTTCAGATGATTTCAAACCCGAAAACTGGTTCAAAAATACTTTGTAACAGTCTATATATTTCCATTAAAAATAGGTACTAATTATTATCTTTATCACCCACCATTATTTTATTCCCGTGCAAGTAAGCCATCATCTTCAGCTTGTATGTATGTGCAAGATTCAAATAAAAACTAAAAAAGTATGATTAACAGGAGGAATGTAATCAAGCAATGATAGTAGACCTTTGTATTTAGCTTCTTGTATGATTTTCTCCCATCAAAAAGTGGATTTAGTACAGCTAATTCCTTGAAGGTTTCAGGTTTCTCCTTCCTATAGCGAAGTCATGTATTTGTAGTCATTTCACTTTATCATAATTTTCTGCAATTTTACGATGAGTAAGAGCCATTTCTACACCTTTCAAAAAAAAATAGACAGATTCATGTACGATGCTACCTCCTTCGCCAACCGAGAGTCCCCCATTCGCGGTAGCTTAATCGTAGCTATGGAAGTATCATCATCCTTGTCCACCAGAGAATAGCAGAACCAGCAGTCCTCTGGTCTACAAGAGGGCAGCTAGCTTTATATGCCAAGGTCAGGGCTTCAGGTATGTGATAAAAAGAGATCTCTATCTCCTCAGCTCCACCTCGACACAGGGGAAGTCCCACGAGGTTATGGCTGAGCTCCTCTCGAAGGAGTTCTCAGGAAGTCTCAGTCTGTAGCTCATGGATTCAAATATGAAATATTCTAGTCTCACTAACACTTTAGAGCATAAATTGAGGTCGATAATCTGACTTCTTCTAGACGTCATAAACGTAGGTACAGAGCCCTAGAATTTCTAAGCTGGTTTCCGAGAGGTACTGCAACAGGGTAGCACCTCAGGAATTAATATCCGTACTCCCCCACTTCATGTGGTATTGGAATCGAGTATTTGGAGTTATCTACTTTAAAACAAGGAAATAAACATTTATTTTAACTAAGGCATATTTATCTAATAATAATTCATATTCACATGCTATGTTACCAGTCACTTTGATTGATGAATTGTTACTCAGTTCATATTTTGGATTTTCAAAAGATTGCTCCATTTTTAAAAATGACATTCACTAATTAAACCTAGCAGCGTAACTCCAAATGAATATCTATTGATCTAATTTACTGATAATATATTCAGCAGTTATAGAAGTGATAAAAAGTTTGCATTTAATTAACTGAGTAATATTCATAGTCAGAAACTATTCTAAATAAACTTAACACGAACAAAGTCTCACTAATTGCAGCTCTTAAAGACACTGTAAACTTTCAAATGCAACTGATTAAATACAAATTTAAAAGTGGCTAAAGTGGCTTGCGCTGTTTTTGCACTATGAATTAACTAAAAATCTAAATGATATAAATGCAGAAGTGAAGTGCAGTGAATCTCTCGGCTGGGAAATTAAATTAGGGTTGGGCTGTTAGTGTGTTTTAAAATTCGCAACATGTATAGGCTGTTTCTGCTAAAAAGTGAAATTCTGAAAATTTGTGGGTTGTGCCACTATTGCGCTCAGGGCCTCAAATAAAAAATACATAAATTTAGTATTAGTAGTTAAAACATGTTGCGCAGATGTACCAACAGGTTACAATATTCTGGTAGAAAAAATTATACTGAGATTGAAAAAAGCTTCAAGGACTAATAAGCAAACAGTTACTATTGATTGAGAAAAAAATGTCAAATGATACGGTAAAACAAGAAATAACTAGTATATTAGAACAAAAAATAACGTTGACATCAAGCAAAGATGAAAGTACTGAGGCAAACTGGGCGAGAATTAAAGATATATTGCAAGAAACAAAATTATATGCAGTAAAAACAAGGATGAATAAAACAATCTTCAGTTGGGTAAACATTACTCGCTTCGTCTGCGCTCGAATGTGTATTACCAACAGATAAACTTTGGTCACCTTCTTCATCAGCAGATTGCACACAGTCACTTTCATGATTGCTGAGAATCCACTCCTCACCTGGAACATTTCACTTTCACTTCCTCAGTACCACTGTCTATCAGTTTTTTACTTAATACTTCCCCAAAATCCGGATCCCTTGGTTTTAAATTAAGTCCAGGACGCCAAAAACCAGCCAATATTGTTACACACTGCCTGGTAAAAAAATAACTATTATCAGGATGTTGAATCACATTGACCCCAACTATCACAAATTGTGAAATTTCTGAGAAACAAAGAGCGACTGACCAGTAGTAAGTATAACATATAATGTTAGGAAGGTACTGGTGGGGGCGAAGCGGTACATGAATAAATAACTTGTCACAGCAAATTTGTTTGCCTTCCTGGGTCAATATGGCCTCCCAGTTAAGGGTTAAATATTACAATTTTTTATTAATATATATATATATATATATATATATATATATATATATTATATATATATATATATATATATATATATCGTAGATATATTGTTCTGAAGCTATTTTCTTGTGGCATTGTAAATTAATTACTATTTATAACTGGGAATAAGCCACATTAAAGATAAAAATACATTTATTGACGTTTCAATTTCCAATTCGGAAATTGAAACGTCAATAAATGTATTTTTATCTTTAATGTGGCTTATTCCCAGTTATAAATAGTAATTAATCGTAGATATAACTTCGAACTGCAGAATATCTACAAGCATACGTTTGGTGGTAAAGATATTACCACTATAATTAAGCGAAACCGCCTGCAGTGGGCAGGACATGTAGCCCGGGCCCCTGAATCGAACATGATAAAAAAGATTCTAACAGCGCAACCTGTGGGAATGA